TAAACCTTACAACTCCATTATGACTTCGTGTCGCACTTAGGTCGCAGCTAACAATTTTGCGTGCCGCATACTCGTGACCGTCTGCACTCCGTATTGCACCGGGGGCCGCTCCCCAGAGGACTCGCCGCCTAAGCCGCCGCGAAGTGGTGTCAACGCCTTCGGCAGTGAGTTGCTGCTCTGCTCCTTGACACCACCGTTCAGTTGCTCCCCCAGATGCGCAACCGGGGCCTCTTTCTGATTGACGTCAACGTCCGAGAATTGGAGCTTTTGGGGTCGGAGAGGAGAGGCCGCTCGGGTAGCCTCCGCACCCGATTCTGGTGTCAAGTCCACCGGCAGCAGTCCCCCTCTTCTCTTCTCCACACCGGACTGTTCCACCAATACTTCGTCCGGCTTCTCACCGTCTGGTGTCAACTCCGCCTGCAGCATGTCTCCCCCCAGTTTCTTGACACCGCTGTTTGCCCAGGCCTCGATCCCCTCCGTTTCAAGCCCCGCGCTCGGTGCCCCGCCCAAAAGCGTGTCCGCCTGCGCTCCCGAGTCGTCTGCCCGTTCTACTTCCGAAGAGCCCGTGACGTCAGCCTCCAAGGCTTCGGCCCCCAAAACCCGCTGCCGGCGCCAGCTCTCCCAACGCTGACGCTGTCGTCCCCAGCGCTGACGTCATCAGCATCGTCAGCGCTGACGTCATCGGGCTCCTGCCGGACAGGACGTCTTCCAGAGGCTCCGTTTCGGACGCACTGACGTCAGGGGCCGGAGACGCGTCTATGGTCGGAGTGACGTCAGCTTGGCCAGCTCTTGCGGCGGGCCGCAGGTTGCTGACGTCATCGTCGGAGTCGGCCTCTGAAGGGCCGCCGTTATTTGACGCGGACGGGGCGATGTCCCTCGGGGACGGAGCATCGTACTCGACGACAGTAACTGCACAGAAAAACAAACGTGTTTGTCACGAAAGGCCAAGCGAGTCCGCTGAACGTGAAGGAGGAAGAGTCCGCTTTGACTGAGGAGCTTCTCAGATCCACCCCGGCTCTAGTTCCGGCACTACCAGACCTGGTCGAGACAGACTGCTCCAGATGCGCTGAGAAGAGCAGGTTGAAGCAAAGGGTCGCTCGAACCCTCCTTAACAAAAGTCGGGATCCTAACAAGCCAGAAAGAATCGTGAACAGCATTAGGGAGGAGCGTGAAACATGTGAAACAGCCGGAAACCGTTACGACGATACACCTTACAATCGAAGCAAGAACCTAGCGTGGAGTAATAAGGAGTTTCTGAAGCTTGATTGATGAGCGGATTCCCAAGGTCCTGCTATACGTCCGCTGCTCCTGCAAAGTCTCGACTTCCAGGTGGACCGCCAGGAATCAAAGCGGATAGCAAGTAGGCATACGACCAATTCAGAGAGGAGCCGTTTGTATCTAACATTTGCAAAAGAACGACCCATTTGAACCAAACTTGGTGACCAGTGCTTGCTGATGCAGAATGAGAGGTGAAGACAACCTCGACCCATTGTATGTTGGCAACTTGGATCATCTTCTGAGTCACTCTCAACTCACCTTGCGTGGCCGTTTTTCGCTTCCCTCGGGGATTTTGGGGCGCGCTGTGCTGGCTGGGTGGTGGGTCCCGGGTCCAGCCCCAACAGCCCTCGTCCTCCTGCACAGAAAAAAAAGAAAAGCTTTAAAGAATGGCTTTGTTCAAAAAAGCTCTTAAAAGTATCAGGCCTAGCGTACGTCAAATCTAGCCCAAAACTTTCTGAACGTTTGGGACGCGATCTCCCAGAACGGAGTACAGTCCCGGAGAGGAGTGCCGGGCATGGCGAGCGGCAGATGCTAACGTATCAGGCCGTCAATATCATCAGTCACGCTCTTTCACGGCCTTTGACAATCTCCGACTTGGGACAATACTGCACGAACCTGTATGCCTTTAACCAGCTCAATAAGCATTGGAATCAACAAATAGCGATGCTCGAAAGTGCAGCGCTACAGTCCATCTGATTTAGGAACTCGATCTGCAAGTTCTGCCTAAGGGCTGCAGAACCTTGGCAGTGCACGTTCTCAAAATCCTTTTCAGGCAGACCGCTGGACAAACGACACATCTCCGGCCGTTGATTTTTGCAGTCGCACTCTGCTCGGCAGCGCTGCAATTCTTGTGCTCGCCCAAACCGTTTCACCATTTTACGGTCCGCCTGCATGAAGGGAGAGTTCAAAGTACAGACCGTACCTTCCAGTCCCAGGCTGGGGGCCCCTCCCTCTCAAACACGTCGCCGAGGGCGCCGAAAAATTCAGTAGGTCGGGGCGACGAAAAAGACGAAAAGGGGGGGTCGGGGCGGCC